TCCCAAAGTGCTGGGATTACAGGCTTGAGCCACCGCGCCTGGCCTTCTGTTTGTATTCTAAGTGGTCTGATGGTGGGGGGGTCTCAAATCAGAGTCATAAAAATATTCTGTTCTATCTGCAGACGTCAAATAGGATAAGGCACATACACCTGTCAAGATTGTCTTAAAGAAGTATGAAAAACTGGGCCGGGCATGGTGGCTCATGCATGTAATTCCAGCACTTTGGGAGGCCGAGGTGGGCGAATCACAAGGTCAGGAGTTTTAGAGACCAACCTGGCCAATATGGTGAAATCCTGTCTCTACTAAAAATACAAAAAAATTAGCCAGGAATGGTGGTGGGTGCCTGTAATCCCAGCTACTCGGGGGGCTGATGCAGGAGAATTGCTTGGACCCAGGAGGCAGAGGTTGCAGTGAGCTGAGATTGCACCACTGCACTCTAGCCTGGGCAACAGAGTGAGACTCTTACTCAAAGTATGAAAAACTGAATCTGTAGCTCAAGCTAAAAGCTTAAACAGCTACAAGATATGGCCCCTATCAACTCTCTGATCCTATTAGCTACTATTCTTCCTGTTTACATTTGATCACAGCCACATGGGCCTCTTTGCTGTTCCATGTACACACACAAAATACTTCAGCCTCAGGGTCTCCGTATTTGTTATTTCCTCTGCTCAGAAGGGTCTTCTCACAGGTACCTACATGGGTTTGTTCCCTTATTATTTCTAGGTCTTTGTTCAAATGACATCTCTGTAGGGTATTTCCTGACCATACTATTTAAAAATATCTCTCTTCTGCCTTACAAACACTTTTATCACATCATTCCCACTTTCCCTGCCTTATTTTCTCCACAGAACTTTGGTCACTCTCTGCCATACCAAATATAGTACCTACCAGATTTTCTGTCCATTCATTCCATCACTCACTCCTCTACCCACAAGATTAGCAAGCTCCACGGGGGCTGGGATATATCTTTTTTATTCAGTGACAATCTTCAGTACCTAAACAGTAAATAAATGTGTACCTCTCTACATATAAATGTTTCAAATCTATTTTTAATGTTGCTTGTCGAACATTAACATTTTCACACTTCCAGAAATGACATTAATAAAAATATAAACAAATTGACATAAAAATCTGTGTAGACTAAGCTAAAATTTACAAACTCTTAATACAAGGTACATTTAAACCTTCTCAATTATGGGACAACAAATAATAGACTTCATTGCTTCATACTAAAATGGTATTTTTGACTAATCACAAGGAAACTTAAACTACCATATAGTTATAATCACAGGTATTCAGTCCAAAGAGGAAAAAAGTTTTCGTGGTACTATGAGAACCTGTATCTCTGAAAATGTTAGCTCCATAAGTGTAAGCATGCCCGAAGATTATAAGATAATAAAATGTGGAAACAGGCAAACTATGGGGCGATTTGATGTTTCTACCACTTGCTAAAGATTTTCTTTAATAGAATCATTCATGCTAAGTGGATAAAAGTTACAAATTACAAAAGATACAGAATATATCCAATAAAAAATCAGACTGAGGAATATTTAGTGTAAAACTGGCTTAAAATTTTTTGTCAGCAGAATTTCTCAACATCTAACCCTATAGCAAATAATACAAATAACAAGGAGATTCTTCAAGCAGTTGGCATTTCTTCAAAACACAAAGGTCCAATTATAAGAAAAATATCACATTATTTAAAGTCCTACAGAATTGGAGGAGAATCTGTACTACTCATGTTTTTGCATAAATTCCATGATTTATAAATAAATAAACCCCAAATATAAATTATAAACATTTAATTTCAGTATAATGTAGACAAAAACAGCAGCTAACTTGTCATCTTTCACAGTAATTTTAACGTAAAAGGTTTAAACATTTATTTTGCCAATATAGTTTTCATTGCATATAGGCTTTAAAAAAAAAAAGACATCCAAAATACCTGAGATGTATTTTATAAGTAAACAAAGAAAGAACATAAACTTAAATTTCTGGTGGAGGAGTTAGGTCTTCATTAAAAGGGTTCAAGCTGTTAGTAATAAAATGGAAGTAATCCCTTGACATGTGTAAAATAAAATTTTTTAGTAGATGGGAATGTATTGATGATAGTCTCTTATTTCTTCTCCCAGATATGCAAGTGATATATCTGAATACTTACTAGAGCCAAATCTATCTCAAAAGTTTAGGTCATTTTTTTTTTTCCTTTTTGATAGTATTCAATGAGAAATAACACTTTAAATAAAACTTTTTTCATGAGGAAGGTACAGTAATTATCCACCTGCAAAAGGAAAAAAATACAACTTGATTTAGAATGTCAACTTCTAAATATATGAATATATTTAGAGAAAGAATAATTTATGAAAGTATAATCTTGCTAATCCAAGTAGGGCTAACTGATGCATGTACCAGTAATGACACTTAGCGGCTTAAAAACACCTGTAACTCTGAATTTACCAAAAAGATCCATAACTAACTGAAGAAAATCTTTAATGTTAAATATGGAACTTAGTCTACAGCTAGGCTAAGTTTTCAAATCTACTATCACATATTAATCTGTGTGATCTTGAGAGATTTATACTTGAATACACAATGCAAACAGAGTAACTGAAATACATTTCTTGCTACCTCCTGGATACTCTCCTGTAGTCCTCTGAGTAAGCTCCAAAATCAATCCATACTCCAAATAACAGACTTAAGATGTTCAATATTGGAACTCTTTGGTATCAATTAAAAAAGAAACTTAAATGAAAAATATTAGTATTTTTTTCCAAATAAGAAAAAATGAAAACTTAATATATACCCCCATATAACTATGTGCAGTTTGTTTTGCAAAACAAAAAGCCAAAATAAGATTAACACTGAAAGGTATAAACTTTCATTTTACTGTTGGCTCCTTATGTGTTTCAAAATTACAACTCTACAAATAAAACATCTAGTACTGTTGAGAGTTTCCTAAATGTTATTTTTCATTAGGTATCGACAGGCCACCTCTTCTTCTCTAAGAAGAGACTGGAATGTATATACTACTTCAATAAGTTTTAATGAAGCATTTTTCCTGTATTTTCTTACTTCTCAAATATTTCAATTTTCCTTAAATCTACCGTCAGGATTAAAAACAAGAAAAGTTTTCATTTAGCTATAAAAGCTCCAAATGATCCTTCTTCATGCTTAAGAGCACTTAAAGATGTAAAGAGTCATCTGAAAATGTAAAATGCAAATGTTTTCTTGTCATTTAGAAGACAGATTGAATATACTTTTCTAAAACCTGACTTCAGATACATTTAGGAATACAAAGAAAAAGAAACAAACAATATCTAACTCCTGAGTTGTTCTGAAAAATATTAGGCAGTATTGGGTAAACTTTGTAATTCATTCAATAAATATTCTTTTTTTTTTTTTTTTTTTTTTTTTGAGACAGACTCTTCCTTTATCGCCCAGGCTGGAGTGCAGTGGCGCGATCTTGGCTCACTGCAAGCTTCGCCTCCCAGGTTCACGCCATTCTACTGCCTCAGCCTCCCGAGTAGCTGGGACTACAGGCGCCCACCACCATGCCTGGCTAATTTTTTGTATTTTTTAGTAGAGACAAGGTTTTCACTGTGTTAGCCAGGATGGTCTCAATCTCCTGAGCTCGTGATCTGCCCGCCTGGGCCTCCCAGAGTGCTGGGAGATTACAGGCGTGAGCCACTGCGCCTGGTCTCATTCAATAAATATTCTAAGCATTTGTGTTAGGTCCTGGAATATTTTTAGTGGAATCAAAAATTATATATTTGGTGAAGTCTTTCATGCAATGGTTGAAAGGAAATAAAGAAAACAAGTTAAGAGCTTGATAAATGATTTTTAAAAGCACCAAGACAGTGTTTCCATGTAAATGCTGGCATTTAGTCTATCCACTATGTATCGTATATTGGGAACAAAATGTTGCTGGATAAAAACTGAGAGTTTTTATATAATATTTTATCTTCAAATTAGAATGTAAACAAAAAGGTTCTTTACCTTTCGAATACAATTTCTTTTTTTGCTGTTGTTGAGACAGAGTCTCACTCTGTCACCCAGGCTGGAGTGCAGTGAGTACAGTGGTGTGATCTCAGCTCACTGCAACCTCCGCCTCCTGGGTTAAGGTGATTCTCCTGACTCAGCCTCCTGAGTAGCTGGGATTATAGGCGCACGCCACACCACACCCAGCTAATTTTTGTATTTTTAGTTGAGATGGGGTTTTGCCATGTTGGTCAGGCTGGTCTCGAACTCTTGACCTCGTGATCCACCTGCCTCAGCCTCCTAAAATGCTGGGATAACAGGTGTGAGCCACCGTACCTGGCTCAAATACAATTTCTTAAATTAAATCTGAAGTACTTCATAAATTTCCAAAATAGACAATTCTGATTGTAAAGGACTAATTAACAACTGCTTTTATTTTGTAGATTTTCTGCATGGTTACAACTGAAAACTCTAAGACACTCCTTGTACAAAATAACATCAGAGTTATAATACACTACACAAATATACTCATCTTCTCCTAAACATCATTTAATGACTTTTAATCATAAGTTTAATGACTTTAAAACACCACAGATAAGGAGAAGAACATAAATGAGCATTTTTGTTCAGATTTTTGTTGTTATTGCTGTTGAGATGGAGTCTCGCTCTGTTGCCTAAGCTGGAGTGCAGTGGGGCGATCTCCACTCACTGCAACCTCCGACTCCTGGGTTCAAGTGATTCTCCTGCCTCAGCCTCCCAAGTAGCTGGGATTACAGGTGCCCACCATCACACCTGGCTAATTTTTTACTTTTAGTAGAGACAGAGTTTTACCACATTGCCTAGGATGGTCTCGAACTCCTGACCTCACACGATCCACGTGCCTTGGCCTGAGATTACAGGCATGAGCCACCATGCCCTGCCTTTTGTTCAGATTTTAATTAAATTAGGCCAGGGGTGGTGGCTCATGCCTGTAATCCCAGCACAGTGGGCAGCTTTAAAGCAAGATTGCTTGAGCTCAGGAGTTTGAAACCAGTCTGGGCAGCATAGTGAGACCCTGTCTCTATTTTTATTTATTTATTTTTAATTCTTAAATTTTTATTTATTTATTTTAAATTATTTATTTATTTATTTTTTTGAGACCGAGTTTCACTCTTGTTGTCCAGGCTGGATTGTAATGGCATGATCTCCGCTCATTGCAACTTCCGCCTCCCGGGTTCAAGCAATTCTCCTGCCTCAGTCTCCCGAGTAGCTAGGACTATAGGCATGTGCCACCATGCCTGGCTAATTTTTTGTAATTTTAGTAGAGACGGGGTTTCACCATGTTGGTCAGGTTGGTCTCAAACTCCTGACCCCAGATCATCCACCCGCTTCGGACTCCCAAAGTGCTGGAATTACAGGCATGAGCCACTGTGCCCAGCTCTGCTTTTCTTTTCTTTTTTTTGTTGTTGAGAGGGCGTCTCCCTCTCTCACCTAGGCTGGAGTGCAGTGGTGTGATCTCGGTTCACTGCAAGCTCCGCCTCCTGGGTTCACGCCATTCTCCTGCTTCAGCCTCCCAAGTAGCTGGGACTATAGGCGCCCGCCACCACGCCCGGCTAATTTTTTTCTATTTTTAGTAGAGACAGGGTTTCACTGTGTTAGCCATGATAATCTCGATCTCCTGACCTCCTGATTCGCCTGCCTCGGCCTCCCAAAGTGCTGGGATTAAAGGTGTGAGCTACCACGCCCAGCCATCTACTTTTACTTTTAATAGAAATTTTAAAAAACATAAACAATTAAAAAAATTATTTACATATTTATATCTATAAAATTAACTACAATCATAATTTGGTCTTACTCTGAGTTAAATCTTGAATATAAAAAAGTAAAGTAAACAAGACCGTATTTTTGACTTGTCAAACAAAAATCTTTGGCTAAGGACTTAAGAAAACATTTTAATAAAAACATGAAAAAAACCAGTATACTGTTATAAAGTTAGAAGACATAGGACTAACACCCGAATCTGCCATGTGTAGCAAATTATTTGAGTTTTGTGTTTCCTCAGCTATCCAATGAGTGGGTTGGTCACTTGTTAGGTTTTCCTACCTTTAAAGTTATGGTTAAGTGTGGCATTTTGAGAACCAGAATTTCAGGTATTTAATTCACATATTTTGACGGCTTTTCCCCTTCAGATATAAAGAAATATTCAGAAACAGTACTAAATATTGTCTTCTAAGCTCTGTTCAAAATGCTTAATATATTTTATATTTATCTATAAAGACATTTTAAAAGTAATTTCAAAACAAAAGGAAAACTAGAATTTGTTTTATCCCAAGTAAAAAAATCTGAATTAATGTCTATGTTGAATATAAATGTACATTAAAATAAATTCCTCTAATGCTGCATAAGCTCTTTTAAAAAACTCTTGATGGCATTCAATACACTTATAAAATTGCAATTATACTATTTTAAGAGACAATACATCTGAAAAATTAGTATTATTTTCATGGAATCATACTAAAAATAACAGGATTATCAATAATACTGAAAAGACACTATCAATAAAACTGAAAACATAGTAATATTAATATACATTAAAATGCAACTGTAGAGTATGGTCAACCTTACTTCAGCAGCACAGTTAATACTGGAGATAATTTTAGAATCTTAACGCCAATATTTACGTGCTGCTAAGGCACTGCTGACATTGTTATCATAAGAGCTATGAATAAAAAGAAACATATTTTCTTCAGAAGATCAGATCCTTGTATTTTTGAGGCAGCACAATATGGCCTGCACCTTTTCAAAATCCACAAACCATTATGTGCTGCTACTTTACTCCAAGGTTTTGTTTTTTTTAAACACACATTCATGCCTAAAGAATATAAAAAATATTTTCTTTCAGAAAAAAAAGAATGCATGTAAAAAAATCTATGTTTAAACATTACAACATTGATGTAATACACATTAATTATTTTAAAGGAGATTTTAGGTAGAATAATAAAACATTTCTACACCAAAAACTTAACTGAAGTCCATTCTGTGCCCAGCACAGTACTATAGATTAGGAAACACAAAGAATAAAATGAGGAAAAGAAAAGTATTTATCTGCCATGACAGCTTAACAGGGCAATACAATTAAATGTTTCAACTTTTGAATATATTCAATATATGAAGTTATTCTTCCTTGTATAAACAAAAAAGTAAATTTATAAAATTTGATCTTTACCTTGGTAAAAGCAGAATTTACAAACATTTTGTTCCTTGCAGCACACCTTTCAAAAGACATCTTCATCAAATAGGTAAGACTTCATACCAAGAGAAAAACATGAAATGACATACAAGAGCTCAGTTTCAATAAACTTAAGCTAGCAAAATGCAAATGTACTTTTAAAGAAAAATACTTTAATTCTAAATAAAATGTTAATTTTATTAAACATCTAATTAAGCTATTTTAATTCTAGTTAAGAAAAAAAAGCTCTAAACAAACCAATTCTCCCTTAAATAATTTATTAATAATCTAAATATTTTCTTTCAACATTGATCTCCATATTAGAAGTTCTCTTAGAGTTGGATATCATTTGATACAGTAATTCTAAAATATGAATCCTTGGGATAATGAGTTAATTTGGTACCCTGAGATGAGAAATAAATTCTGTAGCTCTTGATCTTCCTATTCCCTATTTCTGGCCCATTTACCAGGTAAGGAAGACACTCCTAGTTTCCACTTACTCAGATGTAGAAATGAAATTCCTTCTTTCTAAAAGATATTAGAAAATTGCCACCACTCTAGTGGTGCCACCACTCAAGCCTAGATAATCTTTTTTGCCCCATGCTCTCATTATTAAAATGACTATGCTGAAGTTAGAATACATCTGTTACAGAATAGTAAGGCGATGTACACAACCAAAGCCCTAAAATTTGTTCTTCCATTCTAATATCTAATTATCTATACAAAGCACAGGGTCACATTCCATATGAATTTTTTCTGAGTATTTTTCCCATTAATAAAAAATATATGTAGCTAATCTCCTATCTAAGCAACCTGGATTTCACATATAACTGCTCCTTATTGTCTCAAGTTTCTGCACAACATTTATTTTTTCATTTTTTAAAGAAAGCAGTTTCTGTACCTTTTAGAGGAAAAAAAAAACAAACCTCATTTCTACATCTGAGTAAGTGGAAACTTTAGGAGTATACTTCCTTACCTGGGTAAATGGACCGGAAATACGTAGGGAATAGGAAGATCAAGAGCTACAGGATTTGTTTTATTTCTCATCTCAGAGTACTCTGTTGCCCAGGTTGGGGTACAGTGCCATGATCGTAGCTCACTGCTGCCTTGACCTCTTGGGCTTAAGTGATCTGTCCACCTCAGCCTCTCAAGTAGCTGGGACTGCAAGTGCACACCACCACGCACAGCTCTTTACATTTTTATTTTATTGTAGAGACAGGGTCTTGTTATGTTGTCTAGGATGGTCTTGAACTCCTGGCCTCAAGCAATCCTCCTGCCTTGGCCTCCCAAAGTCCTAAAATTACAGGCAAGAGCCACCATGTCTGGCCTGCACATTTTTTTTTTTTTTTCCTTGAGACGGATGGGGTTTCACCACGTTAGTCGGGCTGGTCTTGAACTCCTGAGCTCAGGTGATCCACCTGCCTTGGCCTCCCAAAGTGCTGGGATTACAGGCGTGAGCCACTGCGCCTGTCCTGGCCTGCACAAGTTTTAACATGTAACCAAGATAAATCCGTTTGCATTCACTTGAGAAATATATAACGTATATTTGTGTTTATCAATTATGTTAAGGAATTGTCCTTCAGGGTCCCCCTCATCACATACATTTTCCAGATAAAAACTTAAATATAATTTTTTTCAAACATAAAAGGTGCCTGTAAATTATTTAACAAATATTTTATTGAATACCTACTATGTGCAAGGCACTGTCCCAGTTATTACACTAGTTGGTAGTATACCAGATAGACAGTGTCTTTTCAGAAAGAGTAGTCATTATAAGACAACTTAAAGTGAAGGATCTTAAGCTGAAGAATTTAGTGCCAACAAAGGATGGTTTGAGTTTCAGAAAGAGGTGTTGTTCTAAAAATGTCAACACAACAGGAGAAGCAGCTTTGAGGCAGCAGAGTTCCCAGACACCACTAAGAAAATCACTGGGGAGAAAGGATAGGTTTTTCTGGATTTTTTTTTTCTTTTTTCAGACGGAGTCTTGCTCTGTTGCCCAGGTTGGAGTGCAGTGAGGCCATCTCAGCTCACTGCAAGCTCCGCCTCCCTGGTTCACGCCATTCTCCTGCCTTAGCCTCCTGAGTAGCTGGGACTACAGGCACCTGCCACTATGCCTGGCTAATTTTTTGTGTTTTTGGTAGAGACAGGGTTTCACCATGTTAGCCAGGATGGTCTTGATGTCCTGACCTCGTGATCCGCCCACCTTGGCCTCCCAAAGTGCTGGGATTACAGGTGTGAGCCACCACGCTGAGCCCACGATGGGATTTTAATGCTGATAAATGTGCCCTATTCCAGAAGAAAATGCCACAAAGGACATTTATTAGTAAGGAAGAAAAAAAAGCACCAGGATTTAAGGCAGGAAGAGATAAGCAAACTCTACTGTTTTGTGCAAATGCCGTCAGTTTGCTGTCCTTAGCCATAAAGCTGCTAATTCCTGAGCCTCAAAGGGAAAAAACACCAGCAGCCAGTCTTTTGGTTGTACAAGAAGGTATGGACAATGAGAATGCTTTTTCTGGAATGCTTCCATCAATGCTTTGTTCCCAAAGTCAGGAAGTACCTTGCCAATAAGGGTCTGCCTTTTAAGTTCTTTTGATATTGGACAATACTCCTGACCACCCAGAACCACAAGTTCAACACCAAAAGCACTGAGGTGGTCTATGTGCCCCCACAATGTCTCTATATTTCATCCTCTGTATTAGGGTCATAAGGACCTTTACAGCTCATTACACATTGCACTCTGTGGAAATGTCTATCAATGCTATGGAAGAGAACCCTGACAGAATAACATGAAAGTCTGGAAGAATTATACCACTGATTATGCCACTGTTGTTACAGAAAAAGTTGTGAAAGCCATCAAGTCTTAAACACATTCCTGGAGAAAACTGTGTCCAGATGATATATATGACTTCACAGGATTTGTGACAGAGACAATCAAGGAAATCATGAAAGAGACTGTGGATATGACAAAAAAAAGGTACGGTGCAGGGGGGTGGGGGGTTGAAAGGTTTCAAGATATGGATCTTTGAGAAATTCAATAGCTAACAGACACCACACCAGATAAATTAACAGACAACTTGATGGAAATGATTGGTTCTGAACTAGTGCCAGATGATGAGGAAGACAACATAGAAACAGTGCCAGACATACACTACTGGCACTGACATTAGAGAGTCTGGCAGAAGGGCTGCAATTATTCAAGACTACTTTTGATTTCTTTTATGACATGGACCCGTCTATAATATGGGCACTAAAACTAAAGCAAAGGGTGGACAAAGGATTGGTAATATATAAAAACATTTTTTAGAAAAATAAAAAGAGCAAAAAAGTCAGGCAGAAATTACGATGTATTTCTGTAAAGTTACATCAAAAGTGCCTGGCCTTTCCTGCCTCTTCTCCCACCTCCTCCACCTCTTCCACTCCAGAAACAGCAAAACCAACCCCTTTTCTTCCTCAGCCTGCTCAATGTGAACAGTGAAGATGAAGGCCTGTATGATGATGCACTTCTATATAATTAAAAGTAAATATATTTTCTCCAGCTTACTTTAATATGATATATAATACACATAACATATAGCATATGTGTTATTGACTTTATGTTATCGGTAAGGCTTCTGGTCAACAGTAGGCTATCTGTAGTTGAGTTTCAGGGAAGCCAAAAGTTATACATAGATTTTCAACTGCACGGGGGCTGGCACCTCTAATCCTCACATTGTTCAAGGGTCAATTGTATTTTTAAAATTGTGGTTCAATATATATAAAAGTCACCACTTTAACCAGTTATAAGTGTATACTTCTGTGGTATACACGTTTGCCCTGTTGTGCAACCCTCCATCTCCAGAACTTTTTCATCTTCTCCAAGTGATATTGCTTAAACACTAACTGCCCACCCATCTCCTCTACCCCTCAGCCTCAGGAAATCACCATTCTACTGTTTCTATGAATTTGCCTATTCTAGTTATCTCATGTAAGTGGAATCATACAGTTTCTGTCCTTTTGTGTCTGGCTTACTTCATTTAGCATAACTTTTTCAAGGTTCATCCAGGTTGTAGCATGCAACAAAGTTTTCCTCTTTACAGTTGAATAGTTTTCCATTGTGTGTGTATACATTTTGTTTGTCCATTCATGTCATGATAGGCATTTAGGTTGTTTCTGTCTTTGGCTATTATGAATAATGCTGCCATGAACATGGTGTACAAATATCTCTTTGAAATCCTTCTTTCAATTATTTTGGGTATATGCCCAAGTGGAATTGCTGGATCATACAGTAATTCTTTTAATATTTTTGAGAAACTGCCATACTGTGTTTTACAGTGGCTACACTTATATTCTCACCAGCAATTTACAACTTCTCCCATCCTTGCCAACATGTATTTTCTGGTTTTGTTTTTAATAATAGCCATTCTAGTGAAAATGAAGTGGTATCTCATTGTGGTTTCCACTTCCATTTCCCTAATGAATAGTGATGTTGAGCATCTTGTGTTTCTTAATTGTATACCTTCTTTGGAGAAATGTCTATTTAAGTCCTTTGCCCATTTTTTGATTGGGTTGTTTACTTTTTATTGAGTTTATACATTCTGGATATTAATCTCTTATTAGATACATGATTTGCAAATATTTTCTCTGATTCTGTAGACTGACTTTTCACATTGATAGTGTCCTTTGATGCACAGAAGTTTAAATTTTCTTTTTTTTTTTTAGATGGAGTCTCGTTCTGTTGCCCAGGCTGGAATGCAGTGGCACGATCTTGGCTCACTGCAACCTCCGCCTCTCAGCGTCAAGTGATTTGCCTGCCTCAGCCTCCCGAGCAGCTGGGACTACAGGTGCCCACCACCATACCTGGCCAATTTTTGTGTTGTTTCACCGTGTTGGCCAGGCTGGTCTCAAACTCCTGACTCTGTGATTCATACGCCTCGGCCTCCCAAAGTGCTGGGATTACAGGTGTGAGCCACAGTGCCTGGCCAGAAGTTTTACTTTGATAAAGTCCAATTGATCTACTTGTTTTGTCTGTGCTTTTGGTGTCATATCTGAGAAATCACTGCCAAATCCAATGTCTTGAAGGTTTTGCCCTTTGTTTTC